GTCGCCGACTTCAAAGACGTTAATGTTTCTATTAAACTGTTATATCTAAAATCAAGATTTATGAAAAGCTTTACCCAGCTAGAACTTTGCTTACGTGAGCCAATCCTTTGCGAACAAACAAAACACTGTCAGCGCCTGGGCAATTTGATATAAAATAAACCATGCCCGGCCACATTTCTGTAAACTTCCATTTTTTGGAAAGAGAACTGCGCACAAAATTTCTGAGTTAACTAATATCGATATATTCCTTCATCTTCTCAAGAGGGAAGTTATTTTAATGGCTTGATCAGCAAGTGATAAGTAAATGAGGCAAAAAACAAGTCACGGTTCGTCAAAGGCACGTATTTTTTGTTTATGATTATAACCTCTATTTGTTTGCATTTGTTTTCATTAAAAGGAGTTTTGCTCATTTAACTGAAAAAAGTTGTTGTGATAATTGACACCTCAAGAAACTTAACTGATATTTTGCCCGAATGCCCTGTTTGTAATGAACTGTTAGAGATTTGAAAAAATAGGAGAATATGACTTTGAAAGAAATTGCAGCGTATTAGGGCAAGTGTTAAAGCATCTATAAACCTGATTTTCTTGGTCCAAGGGCCTCTAAACAGTATTGCAGACCTATATCATTTCTTTGTCTGCACGCCGACTAGTTATAAGGGCCTCTTAGCAAAGAACAAAGATAAGTATCAAGTTTCGTGCAGGCATTCACGTGCGTGATATCACATATAATCATGTATTTTCCCCCTATCCTGCCAAAAGCGAAACATGATCTTTTTCAGACTTTCATGCCAGCTTTGTTTTTGTTTCTACTGTTGTGTAGTTTTATTTTTTAATCACTAATTTGACGAGCAACAGTCACAGTATGAATGAAAAATCTGTCAGGGAAGGTCACTGTATTTAAATCATTCTTGATAAGTACCGTTTACGCTTTCCCTCGGTGTAACTGTGGAATTTGACGCTTGATTGGTCGACGTGATTGCTATTCAATTTCGTTTTCTTCGTCCACTGAATCGGAGCTGCGCAAAGACCCAGCTTCATTTAATCAATTTGATGTTCTTGTTGTTGTTCAACGGAAAGCGGCTCGTTGTAGGATTCACTTGAGGCCCGTTATGGTCCGTTATGGACTCGGACTTGTGAAAGTGTTAAGAGGTGTAAAAGCTCTTCAAACAGGCAAAAAATCTGCTAATTGTTTTTGAAAACTTACTCCTGCAAGGACTTCCAGAGCCATTCTGAAAATTTTTAAGATAAACTTTGTTATGTTGTTGTTGTTGTTACATAATCAGCTCGACGTACGGCAGAATTAAGCTTATAATTTCTTTAAATCTGTAAGGAAACTTCGGATTACTTGTTTCGTCGGTAGAAAGCTCGCGAAATCTACTTTTTTCCGCCGATTTGTCCGCGAGAAATTTTGTTGTTTTCCATATATAAGGTTAAACTAAGGTATATGAGCTGATAACCGAGATTGAGTGAGCCAATCAGAATGCTAGAAATACATTATCCGAGGTTGAAAGTTTAATGCAGAATATTAAATTACCCTAGTTTCCCGCCGTAGCTTGGGCCTCATGCCTTCCAGAGGATTGTGGGGTTATTAAATAGTACCCGTACTAGGCAAAACTAGATCGAATCATAGCACGATTCGATCGGCAAACACTGCACTGAAATGTAAAAAAAAAAAAAGTTTTTCACTAGTTTTTGAAACAAGCGTTCTATTTTAAAACATATAATAATAATAACAATAATAATAATAATAATTATTATTATTATTTAAGTTGTTAAATAATTATAATAATAATAAGAAATTTCTATCTCATCGGTATTGGTATTTATAGAAGTAAAATGCCAACAGCAGGGTAAATCAGGCAGATCCATGACTAGTTGGTCTGAATGAAAACTCCCTCAGTTCTGCCGCGTCATTTCCTTTTCTTCAATAGAAACATCTTACAATAAAAAAACATATATGAATATTGATCGTGCTTTGAGAATTGTTTTTCAAGTACGGAAGTTGGCGTTGTTCCTTAACATTATAAAAGGTCGCTGGTGTGCTCTTGTACAGGTACTCTTCTCCTGCAGGCTGCACGGTGTAAACGAATACATGAATATTTGGTAAGTGACTTTTGCGATTGTTAAGTATTTTGAAGGGCCACAGTCAGCTAAAATGTTATCATAACCGGGTTTATTTGGACTGGGCATGCTCTTTTTTTAAGCAAGCGATTAATTTCTGCTCTTAGTTTTGTTCCTGAGATTGCTGGATTGCTACAGTGCATGTTAGACGTTTATTCCGTGATTCGTTAAGGAACTCAGTGACTACAAGTTCAGTAAAATTTAAATCAATGTGATATATTCGACGAGTCTTTTGTTATGTTTTCGTGCTTGGAGAGAATTTGCAGCATTAACGTTTTCAGGAGCTGGATATGTGATTAACGTAAGGCCGGAGATACGTGTTATGTAATCTGTTGAAACTGAGTTCAAGTGGTTTGCAAAGAAGTTAAGATCACCTTCAGACTTTTCAAAGGCTAAAATAGACTTAAAGTGGCTCGTAAATTCAGTAAGCCGTAGGAAGGAAGTAAGAGCATTACTTTATTGAGTAAAACAGTGATAAAAATGAAATGTTTTTTCTCATTGTATTCTTAGCATTCTCCTGGTTGATATTGTCCTTTGTCTTGGATATAGAGAGTTAAATATCATTTGTGTGGACTCTGTTTTGATGATGTTGTAGGAGAAAAGAGTTTAACGTCAGGTCATAGATACTGTTTTTACACGATGTTATGATACCAATGGAAATAAAACAGATAATATCTAAGAATGTTTAATTCTCGCCTTGTATATATTCAAAAAAATACGTCATAAAAAGTGCTTTGACGGATTTTTAATTCAAATTTGCAAAACTTTGGAAAACTCACTCGTTCTCTGAGCCCACTTGTTATTTCTCCGAAGGTTTGCCACTCGTGGAAAAAAAGGAGAGAAATTGAGTTGTGACGTTATCGCCATCTTTTGATAATGAGCTTTGGTCCACCTTTTGTTACTGTTTATTTCTCATATAGGGGCGTTCCTAGGCTTTTTCCTTTTGTAAGCCTTACTGGAGCATATTGAAGGGAGATACAATATCGGCACCCTTTTAAAAAGCGCCCATTGTCAGTTAATTTTCTAATATTAACAAAGGCGTTCCTGGGCTTTTTCCGTTTGTGAATCTTGGTGGAACATATTGAGGGGTGATACAATATCGGCGCCTTAGCTCCCATTGTTACTGTTAATTTTACTGTTAATTAACAGAGGCGTTCATTACTAGGCTTTTTCCGTTTGTAAGCTTTAGTGATTGAAGCACATTGAGGGGAGGTACAATATCGGCACCTTTAGGCGCCCATCAGGAGCGTTGAAGGTGTGAAATGTTAGCGGTACCTGAAGGCATCCTCCGAAACATTTGAAATTTAATTACTCTGAGATGCAATCTGGTTCTACCCTGTGTACCAGAGATTTTTTCTCGCGTGTGGCGGTGGCTTCGGTGCTGAATGTTGAACAAAAAAATAATAGAATATTCAACAAAATTTAGTTAGCTATGGTTGTGGTAAGAGGTAATAACTAGGAAAACATTGGTCTAGCAAACATACTTAAAAACTTGGTGGGAAATTCGAAAGCTTTTCGTCTATATTTTTTTGGCGCACAATTTGCGAATCACAGCTTATTTGCTTAAAGACAGAAACGTACTTGATTAATTTTCTCTAAGACAATTGTGACTGGTTGAGTGTATGAAAATGAAAAACAGACGAAATGTAGGGGATTACCAGGAGGGAGGGGCCATCTCACGTGCTAAATGTGAAAAAACAGGATCAAAAAACTAAACAGTTAAAAAAAAAAAAAAAAAAAAAAAAAAAAAAAAAAAAAACAAAAAAAAAAAAAAAAAAAAAAAAAAAAAAAAAAAAAAACACACCAACAGGGAACACCCACCTTATAAAATACAAAAACAAACAAACTCTTTTTCTGAAAAAAAAAAGGTTGAATATATATTTTTTAGAATAATTTTTTTATAATATATTAAAAAAATTTTTTTCCTCTCTACAAATATTTTGAAAAATCAGAAAGTTTTTCTGAAAAACAATTTTTTTTATACAAAACAAAAAAGTATGTGATATTATTTTGTTAAAAAAAATTTGGAGGTTGGAGGTAATAAAAAAAAAAAAAAAAAAAAATTTGGGGGAAAACAGGGGGGGGGGGGACATATCAATGGCAAAAAGGAAAAAAAAAAAAAAAAAAAAAAAAAAAAAAAAAAAAAAAAAAAAAAAAAAAAAAACACTACACTAAACAGAAAAAAAAAAGTGCAATAAAGAAACTGAAAACGGCTTCGCAGGGAGTCCAACCTTGTTCAGTTGCACGTGCAAGCAACTCCTTGCCAACTGAAATAAGGTGCCTGACTTAGTTTTGGTGAAGTAAATTTGTTATATAATATTAAAACTACTTTTCCCTGCCATAGACAGTGTTTGAAGCTGCTGAAGCTGTAATCATCATGAACTCAAAGATGCATTTGAGAAGAAGTTAGTTTAGGCACGCAATTCAAAGCAAATTCGCATAATTTCCGGTTCGAAGGGCCGATTGTTGTAGAAAATAGAACAGACTAACTGTACTGAATTTGGTGTACATTAAGAAATAAACAGACGCTCACACTCCAAGGGAGTGAGAAGTACTGTCGATTTGACGCATACATGGAATATAAATGTGTGTGACCTCTGAATCGAACCTTCTAGTCTGGAGACTAGACGTTGTCCATTTTAGAGAAAAAATGAACTAATTTTTTATGCCCTTGCTGGTCACGTAAAGAAGATGGCGATCCAGCAACAAGACCCGCGACACAAATTAACAAAATGACACAGTCACAAAATACCAAGACGGTTACACAAGCAGAAAAAAGCAGTAGGTGGTAGGTGGGCAGTTTCCCAGAAACTTAAATCGATCCTGCTTTTTCTTTTTCAACAGATCAGAGGGCGATACACATCATGGCGCAAGCTGCGATGAAATTTCCGCTGACCATCATTTTTTGTTCAATGACGTTGCCACTGTCAATGCTATGCTCTGCAGTTGCAGTGGAAAATTCCATAAGCAGCAATCCAAACACGAGCAAGGTGAATTTTGGCCACCACTTGTTTTTCTTAACTGAACGAATTCACATCTGAAATATTGTTTATCGCTATGTACAGTGTGTCTTTGAATAAGAATAAGTGTGTGGTTGATATTAAAAAGTATTTTTAAGTCAGCAATTATCAAATCACAGAATTCATTTAATTTTCTTTTATAGGGAACTTTGTGCTATCATGGGCAACCAGGCAGAAATGGTATTCCTGGTATAAATGGAATTCCGGGATCCCCTGGAGCACCCGGCCGTGATGGTCGTGATGGAATCAAAGGAGAACAAGGAAGTCCGGGAAACACTGGACCCCAGGGACCTTCTGGAGGGAAAGGAATGAAAGGAGAGCGTGGTAGGCAGGGTCCTGTCGGTCCCAAAGGAGATCGAGGGGAGAAAGGTGACAGTGCCAGCCAAGGAGGGCCGGCCAACCTTGCTTCCCATTTGAACTGGAAGGAATGCACGTTTACAAATGTGGACCATAGAGATACGGGAGAGATATATGTAAGTTGCTCCTTGACAAATATCACTACAATAACATGAAAATGAATGTCGACAAGACTGCAGAACCTGGAATATTATTGAGACAAGCCTATTAGGTGACACAAAGTATGCTAAAACCAGGAAATTATTTCACGAATTAACTACCATTAATCCCGGAGTAGTCAATCGATTAAAATCGGTATCGATTTATCAATCGATTAATCGATGAAAATCGATAAATTTGATGTGATTACACACAGAAGTTTCCCTCTAAAACCTTTAATTTTGTTCAATGACAAAACGGTTCGGTTTAAATACACTCAGCAGTGCCGGATCCAGACCTTGAGATAAGGGGTGGGGGGTCTCCAAAAAAATTTTTTTCGGCCCTTGGGGCCTTAGTTTGGTCTAAAAATAGGGGGGCCGGGCCCCCTGAATCCGCCACTGTCCAGTTCTCGCTGGCTAGTATCACGATAAATACAATCAGAGATAAAGATCTCCTACCCTGAAGTCCAGACATCCCCTCGGGACTAAGCGGCCGGTGTCTGAACTTTATTCAGGTTAAAAGATTACTCTAGATAGATTTTCACCGTTTTCCCTTATCAATCGATAAAATCGTTTGATTGTTACCGATTTTCATCGATTTCGATTTTTATTCGATTTTTATTTGTTGGCTAGTGCGGGATGTAACTACACCCGAAATTTTGAAAGGGTGTCAGGTCTAAATCGTGAAATTGGGCGCCTTTAGAACTGGCCAATATCAGCCATCAGAAGAAGATTTTTAGCCTGATTTTAAAGAAAAGATAAGATAGTTTTAAAGATTATTTCTACAAGAGGTGAGGGTAATTGTTTGATCCTGCGACTCTCAATTGCAACTCAATTGTCAACAAATTTACTGTCTGTATGAACAATTCTGTTTCCATCTTTTGTTGAACAGATGAGCTGATGTAGCTTTCCGATTTAAATCGATGAAATCGGTAAAAATCAAGATAAATCGTTGAACGAAAGGAGTGTGTCATCGATTTCTACCGATTGACCGATACAATCGATATCAATCAATCACATTTACCGATTTTTATCGATTTAGTGATTGATAAATCGATACCGATTTTTATCGACTGACTACTCCGGGCGCTTTAACAGTGATTTTATACTTGTCCGATCGCTATAAAACTTTCACCAGTGAATGACTATGAATGGAAGTTTGTCAAAATGTAGTTTTAAGTAAAATCGCTATCACTATAAAAACAATAAAAGAAAAAATTGAAATCGATTAAAGTCGAATTTTGTGCGATCTAAACCTGCTACTGAAAATCCGATACTAGGAACTTTAAGCGTGGTCCTCCGTGAGAAGTAAAAAGTCTTTACATTTGAATTCAAATAAAGCGTAAATGTATTACAAATCTTATATTTTCAATAGCCGTGAAAAATGGATTGATAAAAAAGTTCTAAATAACTCAAATTAATCTTAAGTATGAATGAGAATGCTGCTTGATATCATCATTCACTTCTTGGAGATTTTGCTGTATTTTCTTTCTTGCGTTCCTGAAAACTAACCCGTTTTCTCATCACCTGTCTCAGTGAACTTTATTATAAATTTTGAATTTTAGTGCTTATCTGTATATATCTGAAACGGCTCGACAGAACTGTTTTTAAACCTCATCACATAATCTTCACGATGTCTGAAATTTTCATTAAGATTGATTCACTGCAACACCTTGAAATTTCAAAACGAACTTAGCCTTCGAAGAGGCCAAAAATCCGCGCTACAAAATTCACTGTTTGGATGTTGCGCTTACACTTAAATAAAATGGGCAAAGTCGATTTGTTTATTTCATTTTTACTGTTGTAGAGCTGCGAATTCATGAAGAAATACACGGAAACTTCCCTCCATGTTTACTTCGCTGGTAATCTCCGGATCTACAACTGTGACAACTGCTGCAGTCGTTGGTATTTCAAATTCAATGGCGCCGAGTGCAGCTCTCCTGGTAAAATTGACGGTGCATTTTATATGGCAGTAGGAGCTGGCAAAAACCTTCATCGTCATCGCCACATTGAAGGTCACTGCAATAACATCCACAAGGGAAAAGTGCGAGTGGGATTCTGGGTTGGAAGCTGCAACAATGGCCACAAACTTACTGATGCGGATACAGGCTGGACTACAATGTCCCGGATCTTCATTGAAGAAGTGGCAAGTGCTCAACAGTAAACATGAGCAATTCATGAAATAGGAAGCACGTGATCAAAGTTAATAGATGCACTGTCAAAAAAGCATTTTTCACTTGAAAACACCAAAAATTTTGGAACACCGTAATTTCCTCTTTTTTTTAAATTGCAAAACAAAAAGGATGTAGCTGAACAGTTATGTATTTCACTGTGCAACTGATGTCAGTATTTTATACAAAACACATTTAATGCAAACAGTAAAAACGATGATAAATTAGTTTTTAATGAACACTTGAATAAAGTTAAAGCAAATTTGTAGCATTCATTTTATCTCCCATCAAAAGTTCTAGCAAAGTAAATATGTTTGGAAACATTTTCCGTGGTATCCAGATCCAGTTGGTGGGTAAATTTCACTCCTGGATGCTTTACAGACCCTGTGCTCCTTCAGATAAAAACAAATCGATAAAAAGTCAGACAAGCTGCACTAAATGGAAAGAAACATAAGAATATAACCACCCAAAACATTAACCCTTTAAGTCCCAATAGTGACCAACATGGCTCCTAACAGTATCCATAGATTGTCAAGTGCAACATGTACATCTATGAGAATTAATCAAATGATAACAAAGAGAAAAATCTCTGATGTTTTAACAATTTCTCCCAACTAATTCTGTAAGGAAATGTATAGGGATCAGTTTGGAGAATTTTTTTGTGGATATTGGGGCTTAAAGGGTTAAAAGAAGGAACAAATAACACAGTAAGTACAAAAGGAGACCCAAGTGGAAAAACGTTCTAGGAGATTGAAACGGATTGAAATTGTGGATTTTGAAAACATGTCAGCTTAAGGATTTTGAAAGTTCATGAAATCATCGTTGTTGTTTATGACGATTGATATTATGCTTGACGGGGAAGACAAGGTTTAGCCAGGGCTAAAAGCGAAGCCTCGGTTGGCTATATACTTAAAATAAATTAAGCAATTAACTTTAATGAACTCTCAGTCACTAAAAAAAATCAGTAAGCCGGGACCATCAGGAAATTGAGTCATTTTAATTTTCAGTGGACAAAAACCTTGTACCAGAATAATTGAAAGTGTATTGTATTCTTTTTTTACATTTTTCAAGGGACATAGATGTAATTAGTTATCGGTAATAACACCAAAGGAAATTTCTCATGGAAGCCCGAGAAAATAAATGTCGACGTTCACAAAAAGACATCTTACTCATGAAATTTTCAGAATTTTAGCTGTGTTTTCACAATTCTTGTGAACTTTGACATTTATTTTCTCGGGTCCCCATCAGAAATTATCTTTGGTGTTATTACAGAAAACTAATTACATCTATAGCCCTTGAAAAGTGTAAAAAAATAATGCGATATTGTTTTTATTATTCTGGTACAAGGTTTTTGTCCACTCAATGTTAAAATTACTCAGTTTCCTGGTGGATTCTGTCTTAAATTCCTACCATCCCAGGGAGCCTTCCGCTTACCTTTTGGGAGAGAAGCTGGGTGATGTTGAAAATATATCTCGAAAAACACACCTGATATAACAAAACTCTCTTAGCAAGCTAAAAATCTTATGTTAACAGAAAAAAAAAACAAAAAACAAAACAAACAAAACAAAACATCAATATGCATCAACTTAGATCAGAGTAGCAGGCTTGGAAAAGAAATTCCTCCAAAATTAATCACCGAATCATCCACCACACCCCTTTGCAAAGTTATAGGTCAGCCCCTAAATTTAATGTTGCCATAGATCTCTTAATAAGACTCCCCCGTATGCTCCCTTGTAGTTTATCCTCTGCTCCTCCCCCTGTAGGTGTGTACAGGCGGACGGGCGGACGCTGATGCCATAACAAAGTTTTCCCTGCGATGATCATATCTTCATTTAAATTTGTATTTCTGCAGTTCACATCATCTTCATTCTATTTTTTAGCCCTATCGTGGGTTAAGATGAAATCAACAAATTGGCCTGCTCCCGATGTATGGGTTTTCATAACTCAGTTGGTAGAGCACTGCAGCGCTAAAGCGGAGGCCAAGGGTTCATACCCGGTTGAAGTCCCCAAAATTTTTCTCTGGTTAACTTGCAACTGCTTTAAATTGCAATTACCACTGAAATGATCATATCTTTATTTAAATTTGTATTTCTGAAGGTCACATCATCTTCAAAATTTTTCTCCCATCGATAGGTTCCCAATTTCTATAGCAATGGAGGCTCCGCTATAACCAAAATGAACTAGACAGTCATGATACGGCCGCTTTAAATTCCAGTAATTATGCAAGCTTTTTTTCTTGTCTTACTCTTTGTTTACACTTTTACGGGCAGGAATCAGTTTATTTAATCTTGTCAGTTGGCGTAAGTCAAGCAAAAGAATCTGAAAGATATTTTACTGGAACAACTACCTTGGTGGCCTCCAGGTGAACTTGACATTAATCTTTCGCCAAGACAAACACATAAAACCTATGGTTACAGAGTTTTTTCAAACGCAGCTCCTAAGATATGGAATTCCATGCCAGCCAGTTTACGCACATGTTGTGAGCTGAGCGCTTTCAAATCAAAAATCAAAACATTTCTTTTTAAGCGTGCTTTTCAGTCGTAATTTCATGTTTATTATTATTATCATTATCATTATCATTATCATTATCATTATCATTATCATTATCATTATCATTATTATTATTATTCATTTATTATATTTGTTTCTTTCTTTATTTTGTTTTTTATTATTTTTTTTAGCAATTAAGTCATTGTAATATTCTATTAGGTTTATAACTATTAGTACCGATTTTAAGGCGCTTTGGATCAAGAGAAAGGTGCTAGATAAGTGTATATTATTATTATTATTATTATTATTATTATTATTATTATTATTATTATTATTATTATTATTATAAATTATATTTCGTAGACTACCCCCAACCTCCGTTGCGGATTCTCCTCTGTCCCTCCCTGACAGTCTGTAAGGAGGTGTACAACAGACGGGCGGGCGTTTGCTGACGTCATAAACAAATTTTCTCCCATCGATAACTTCCCAGTTTCTATAGCAATGCTTCAATATCAGAAAACAAACCTTTTTGTCAATTTCAGTTGAAAGGTATTAAAAACTGCAACCAGTTTTCGAGAAATCAGTAAAAGATTAAATGAACTCGTACAATACGATTGTTTTCTTAAACTGTGGAAAGATAAAGCCAAATGTCAATTAAAAAGCTTACTGATAAAGGCTTTAAATCAAACAAGGAGATAAATTCTAAGATAAAAATAATGAAGATGCCCATTCAAGTGTTGAGAAGTGATAATTACATATTAATAATACTTTTTCCGCGTTGGTAGACCACGAAATTCCTTTTAACGTCGTAAACTTGTTTGCACATTGAAAAACTGTGTACGTTGAAAAACTTTCTGAATCTAGTAAAGTGCATCTCTGTAAGATGTTCCATGATATACTACCGAAGTTACTATAGTAAAACAGTTAGCACTCCGAAAACAAACGAACGTTTACATTGGAATTTTCGAATAGCTCGCGTGACCATTTCAACAACCGTTTAGTAATATGGCTTCCCTTATTCAGTTTGGCAAGCCGCTGGTGCAATAACAACAGTTCAGACGGCGCGCGGTGGAAATGATCCGTAAGCGCTCACGAAATAACCTTCCAGCATGGGGAATCGATTGAAAAAGATGCTTATTGATATGTTATGCGGAGGAAGAGGTGTGTTTAAAGAATTACTTTCTGGCAGTCTTAAGGTATTTGAACTGAGAACCGAGTTGGGTATCTCCGCAATACTGCAGCATTGGCCATGACTGATAACTTTGCAGAAAATACGAAAGTGCCATGGCCACGGGCTAAATTTGTTGTTGCTCTTTAGAAAGAACAAAATGTATCAATTAGAATGCAAAATGAAAAAAAAAAAAAGGATCTTTTCAGTTTAACTGACGCTCGTCATAAATCACGTCATTGCTTTTAATTTTGGAACAATCTCCAAAGAGACAAATGCAATGACGTGAAGGAACTGATTGTTTAATGTTTAGAAGTGCAATTAAAACTTTTTCCGCGTTGGAAACCGCAAAGTCCCTTGGATGTTGTATATAACTGCTTTCTTACATCTGTTTTTGTGTATTTTTCCTTGCTTTAGCCACTGAACTGACCGAGACTTCGGCGTAAACAGGTAAGTAAAAAAAAAAACTTTGAGTTGTACACGCTATAATCATGGTATTTTAAACCTCTGGAAGCTACTGACCCTTTGCTCCTAATGTATCCCGTTCCCTCATTTCAACGTAGCCTTTTTAAAACTGAGATATGTTTTAACGCTTTCTGCAAGTTGCATGTTTCAAACCATAGCTCTTTCCGCCACTTAATACACACGGTTTAAAAATAACTTTTAGAAAACCCTTTTTCGAGATTCTTATAGAGAACAAAGATGGCTACATTGATTTTTCCAATCAGTAAAACTAAATTTCTCAAAACTTTAGCAGGGATCAATCCCTATTTTAAATTGCGTGTGTGCCTTGTTGGCCGATTTGCAAGCCAAACTTTTGTCAATAACTAACATCAAAACTACTAATACAAAGTAGAGTGTGTGTTGATTTGTATCCTTTAATTAATTAATTGTTTGTTTGTAACAATACTTTAGTCTTAGCTTTTTTTCCGTCTTGACCACAGCCGCGTTATGGCTAAACTACGGGTAACAAGTATTGTCCTGTCAAATTGAAAATTAGGTTTTCTTTTTCAAGTTTCTGAAAAAGAATGTTTGAGGTTTGTTCAAGGCAATCACAAGAAATTTCTTTGACAAATCGGGAAAGCTTTCAATATCCTTGTACTGCATGGTATTAGGAGCACTGAAAATCGTTTAGTGCAGTGGAAATATCATAGCCATGCCAGACAGATCTAGGGGTTATACGTTTGCAAAACGCTTCTTTAATTTGATAATCCAATAAACAAAGTTTTAAATTCGACCCTGTGCAAGAAGTTGCTATCACAAAGTATATTCCAAATCAGTCGGTGTCACTGAACTAAGAGAATAGAAATGCATCGTCTCAAACGTAAGCCCAAT